TCTTTATTCCTCAAGCTGTATATGAGTGGGTTGATCATGGGGGTGAGGATGGTGTAGAAGGCAGACACAATCTTATCTTTCTCTGGCGTGTGGTAGGAATGAGGCAGCACATTGGTGTAGAAGGCTGCCCCGTAGAAAATGCTCACCACCATAATATGGGAGGAACACGTAGCAAAGGCTTTGTGCCGGCCCTCAGGAGAGCTCATTCGATGGACAGTGATGAGAATGAGCGTGTAGGAGACAGAGATGATGGATACAGGGATGAGCAGCATCAGTATGCAGCAGGTGTACATCAGGGTCTCATAGAGCGATGTGTCTGTGCACGACAGCTTCAGCACAGCTGGGATCTCACAGAAAAAGTGATTGATCTCTCGGGACCCGCAGTAGGGGAAACTCATGGTAATAGGAGTCAGCATGAATCCATCCAAGGAGCCACCAACCCAGGAGCCCGCCACCATGAACAAGCAAATCCTGTGGTTCATGAGGAGAGGATACCGGAGGGGCTTGCACACAGCCACATACCGGTCATAGGCCATGAGGCCCAGCAGGAAGAATTCTGCTCCAATCAGGGTCAGGTAGAGGAAGATCTGAAGTGAGCAGCCCAGGAAGGAAATGGTCTTTTCCTTGGATAGGAGGTCTTGGAGCATCTTGGGGACGGTGATACAGATGTAAACAGTGTCCATGATGGAGAGCTGGCTGAGCAAGAAGTACATGGGTGTGTGGAGGTGGGAATCCACATGGATTAGCAGAATCATGACCACATTGGCTGTTACAGCCACCACAAAGATGGCAAAGACCACTGCAAAGATGAACCCAGGGAATTTGAGATGGGTGATGAGGCCCAAGAGGATGAAGTCAGTGGAGTTCTGCAGACCAGGCTCCATATCCATGTCACGTGGTAGCTCCCTGGGCTTTAGAAGCAGAAAGTTGGTAGGTTAATTATCAGCCTGATATTTATCCACGGAACCTACCGTGGATAGTGTGTCAGAAGCAATGTGGAATAAAAGAGAGAACATCAACTCAGTATTATTTTGAATTCTGGTTTCAATATTAATAATCTGTATGATATTGCACACACAAATTAATCTCTAAGCTAACTGAATTTCATCATCTGTGGAAAGTCATATAGGTCTGTAATCTATAGTCTGAATGTGAAATGTAAATGTGATCATTCATATAGAACCTCTTCTAGCATATGCTTTATTTTTATTTTGAGCATTCTTCTGCATA